TTTATCCAGTCTCCAGTTGACGGGCATTTGGGCTGTTTCCAAGTTTTAGCTATTACAAACTGTGCTGCTATGAACATGGGTGCACATATATCACTGCGGTATGATTCTTTTAATTCTTTAGGGAAGATCCCCAGCATCCACTGTTCTTGTTTGGCAGAATTAGGCCCAAAATTACAAGAGTACCTTGTGGAACCTGTCTGTAACTCAAGCAAGGCATTTATCAAGATATTCCGGTATGCCTAGAGAAAGCCATGGGGATGTCCCTGTAAAAACAAAAAAAGACACCTGCTAAAGTTCTTTAGCACTATCCAAGAGCCCTGTTTATGATTCTTGCCTATCTCCTCCTATATCTGACTTGCTCTTACTCCAGAAAAAGGAAGCACCCTTACATTGTAAATTTTTATCACAGACCTTGCAATTCTAGACCACAAAGTGGTCCCTAGACTGAAAACCATACTGCTCCTGAGACGGCCCAGCCAGGTACTGCCTGCCTCTTGGGAGAGTTCTCATCTCTACTCCCATAACCAGCACCCCACAGTGTCTATGTTTAATCAATGCAAGGCTCAACTATAATCTTCAGGAAAGGCTGGGCTTCTGCCTTGTTTCCATAGTTTCCATAACAATCACAGATATCATCTTGTATGCATAGATTTACTGTACCTCCCATTCCTATAGATTTCCCCCTCATATTTAAATATGGTATCAATAAGTATTAGAGTACTCTGAGATGATGTTGATAAATCTCTACCTTAGTTTTTAAATAATAAACATACTACCAACTATTTTCAGTAAAAAATATTTTTTCTGATTTATCGTGAGTGTATTCTAAAATATAATCCTTATTTAAAATTTGGTTTCCAAATATGTTGTTTCTAAGTATAACATTTTTCTCAGAGAATCTAATTTTCCCTTATTTGTTTGATTATTATACCAATGTTAATAAAATGTAGTTTCTAATATTTTATATAGTTAATATGATGATTTATCCTGACTGCTGAGCCAAAAAAGCAAAAGAAAAACATTTAATGAGTAAAGATGAAGAACTAACTTCAGTTGAGAAACCTTAAGTGTATTTCCTCATCTAATTCCCCATCAGTCCTGATAGAGTGGATGTCAATATCTTCACTTTACAGGAGAGGAAACTTGGGTTCAGACACTTGGAAAAACTGTGGCATAGTCAGAGAAGTTGGTTCCAAATCTGATTCCAAAGCCTGGGCTTTCTTCCTGAGGCGCACCCTACTTCCCCCATCTCTGTTCAGATTAGGATACTTACAACTACCTCCTCACTACTTAGGCTGATATCTACACATACCTGAAGTATATGTGGGGGTGTTAAAAACTAATGCAATGGGAGTAAAGGAAAGCTTTGCAGCCACCCTACCTAAAAATGTCCCCAAATTGTGGTCAAATATTTTGTAACAATTTCAAAAGGGCAATGCAATTTGGGAGCTAAAATGCATTTAGTTTCTTTTAAATCCTAATTTTCAAGACCTAAACATGGCCATCAGCTCCCTTTAATAGAAGATGTGTCAAACTGATTTGGAAGGTAGCTCACAACATCCTCAGTTTCGGTTCAGAAAAAGCAAACCATCTCATTCCATTTCCCCTTAGCTGGCATGCTACCGTATATAAAATGGATTGCAAGCCTTTGGAACAGTAAGACTGACTCACCATCCCTGGTTAACTGATCTTCAAAAACGAAGGCTACTTTTGTACAAGGAAAAGGTTGTGGGAAGGAAATAATTCAAGCAAAAGCAGCGCTAAATTCTGTTCTTGCTTTCATCTATTTTTAAATGATTGTCAGATGTCTGTAACTGACACCTTTAATTAGTGGTTCTGAAGTTTAGATGTGTTTACTAAAATGTAATGCAACAATGGTGCCATTTTATCAACAGATTCTTTTTTTTTAAGTGACTTTTCCCATAAATTTTTAAAAATCTATTTAACAACTGGATGAATGTTTGTGTGAACCTTTTTGAAATGCCTGATAGCTTTTCAGCAACGTGTGTTGCTTGTTATAAGACAAGACATTGCTGTATTCACCCACAGAGGGGAGATTTTTCAATCATTCAGATAATCCCAGGGAAAGGGAATAAGCTTGGACTAAAATACTCAAATTATTTCAGCCAGAAGTGTCTGTGGCTGGAGTTACATGGATAACTGCCTTAATTTTTCATTTACTTTGCAAAGCCTTTATAGATCACTCCTCTGAATCATCCTTTACATTTTTTTTCTAGTTGTTAAGATAGACACGATGTGAATGAAACTATTTTAATTATTGTTGAGCCAAAATAAGCAAACATTTAAAAATAATCATAATTTTCAAAAAGCATCAGAGTGGACTTAAACTATAAGACCGTGAGAATTTGGTCACATTACAACACCACGTGCCCAATATCCCATCCAGCTTCTGCTTGTTTCATCTTGCTCTGTCTCAGAAGGAGGCAGTCAGCTTTGTTCTTTGTTGTAGAAAATATTAAAAAATATATGTTTAAAACACAGCCACATCTTATGTAAAACCAGTCTCCACACTTACTTTTCAGTACTGTTTGTCCAAGAGATGTTATCAGAGGGCTGCTCGGTGGTGGGCTCCCAAGGCTGTGTGTCAGGCATTGATCAGGTGTCCCTGTTCTTGGAACAGGGATTCAAATACAGGGTCTTTTCCACAAACAGCTCAAAGCACAGTTGGGTCTCTTTCCAGAAAAGTTCATGTCTTCCTAACAGAGAAACCTCCAGGCCCAGGCAAGTTCTAGAAGAAGAGCATTTCTTCCCTGCCCTTGAATGGACTAGGTCATTACTGAAGCTAGAGAATAATTCTCAGCATCACTGTGATGAAACTTGAGGGCTGTTTCTGCAGTAGGTGAGACACTTGTTGACGTCGCCAGGGAGGCCCTGGCAAAGGGGCCTGGTGAAATGCAGCCCCAGAGAGCTGATGAAACCAAGGCGAGCTGTCACTGACTGCTGCTAAGGAGCCAGGACAGCTCTTTGCAAAGCTCAGGCAGGAGTTTGAGTTTAACTGCTCGCTCCTTAGGAAAGTCAAAAGGCAAAGTAACACAACTGTGTTGTACTAAAAAGATCAAGCATCTAAAAGTACACATAGGAAACCCTCGGAAGGGTGGTGAGGAGGTGAAAATGAGAGTCCTGTGCTGTTCATTTAAAGAAATGGCACTAGTTGTCCTCTGAAGTTCTCTGTGCAAAAGCCACAGAAGCAAAGCAATACACCCCTCCCTCTTTCTCTATCTCCCCCTCCCTCTCTCCTGTGTGTGCGCACGCATACACACATTCACTTACACTCACACACACACACACACACACACACACACCCCCTCTTCCTATTTTGACTACAGTGGTGAGAAATGATAGAATGGACAGAGATCAGGCAAATTCCAAAGAAGAAATAGCATGGACCCTATTTCTTCCAATTCTGAGGAACTGTTCCTTTTGCCAAGTAGATTTATTAAGATTGAATTTTATCCAAATTCAAGAAAGAATGTAGAAAATCCAGAGGTACTGACTGCCTCATTGCGAAAGTATTTTAATGTATGGCACCTGGAAACTGGCAGTTTAGAAAGAAACCTCTTGTGAGGCACAGAGACAGCTAAAATTAGCAGCTCCAAGTGGGTGACTTTAAAAGGGACATAACTAAATTTTCACTCTGTGATGAGCACTTTAATCCTCAAAAGCAAAGTGTTTTTGCATAGCACAGTATATGCACCACCGTACTTTGATGGAATGAAATTTTTCACAAGACAAAAAATCATCTAAAGTGATTAAATATCCAGAAGTGTACCGTACATGTGTTGTGTTCTGTTTTTCAGTTTTATCTTCACATGAGGAGAAAGATACTGAAAGCTGAGAGACTCTAATATAATGCCTATCTCTTTGAGAATGACTCTAAGAAATGCAAGAAAGAACGGAAATGACCAAGATTTTGTGACTGCGGTTATCAAGTGATTTCATGTGAAACTGGGGTGAGACTTTTCCAGACAAGGGAAGATAACCTGCAGATGGGAATGAAGAGAGGAGGTGTGCTGCAAAAAGAATAAATACATGTTGTCATACACAAAGGGCAGAAATGAACAAATGTCCCAAGGCAATAGATAAATGTGATGAGGTTATATAAAGAGTGGCCTTGCTGGGGATTTAGCTCAGTGGTGCCGCCGCCTGCCTTGCAAGTGCAAGGTCCTGAGTTTGATCCCCAGTACCAGGAAAAAAACAAAAAGAGTTGCCTTGAAGTTCTTAAAGGAAAGAGTTGAAACACACTATGAAATTTAATTTCATCACAAACAAGATGAAAGACTAGTTACTTCAATTGCTGAAATTCATTTCTCAATAAAATAAATGTAAGAAGCAGAGGAATATTAGATATATAAATATATATGTGTATGTATAAACATATAGGTTTGTATGTATAATTAGCCTGTAGTCGTAGAACTTTTGTTTTAATCTTAGATTTTTGGGAGCAAGGATATCAGAAACAAACACAGCTTGGAATTAATTGAACTCAAGTAGGAGAGGAGACTTGCTCTGAATATTCTGTGATTTTTCACAGGAGGAAGGGGGAGTAAGATGTTGATGTACCCTTATTGCATCAAAAAATACATACCAAAGAAATCAAAATATTTAGCATCATTCCAAGTGAAAATAGTATGGAGTATAAGAAAATATGTTTACATAAGCTACTTTTCTGAAGCTATAGGAAAAAGAGAAAAACTTCTTTTGCAGGGAGATTCTCCACAGAAATAGAGCTGGAAATATATATTTTAGGTCAGACGTTTTAAGTTCCCTCTCTAACAGCCTTTGGGTCTTGCAAACTTCAAGTCTTTTCTTGGCTTCACAACTATATGGGTGCCACTGTGCTCACTGGCCACTCTAGACTTATCAGGGATGAGGATCTAGTCAGTTCCTAACTCTCCTGAAAACTCAAAGGAAATTTATTAGGTTCTTACATTGCTCTCTGCTCCCATAACTTAGGTTAGGATTGGCACATGAGGGGTTTATTTGCTCATTTTAGCCTTCCTGGCACTGAAGGTCCTTGAATGCTGGTGTAGAATGGCACAAGTGATGTCATGCCCTTCCTGGCTGAGAACATTCTTGGCTGAGGCTTAGCACCAATCACATGTCAAATCAGAGGTTCTGCCAGGTCCTCTGGCCAAGCTGGAATTGTGCAGGTCCTCCTGTAGCGGAGACCTGTCAGTTTGGGGAAGGTCCCCTGAGCACTGAAATCATTCACTCTTTCTCCTTCTCTCAACAATTCATCCCTACCCAAGGCCCAGGGTTTCTCCCCAGTGGACAGTACCTGAAACACACCTTGGAAACTCCACTCAGTTCACCTGTTTAAAATGGCAGCCAGTCATTCAGGTAGATCCACTAAGTGGGCTTTTTTTCTTCCGTTAAGTACAGTGGCAATAAATAAATAAATAGACAGATAGATAGACAGATAGATAGATAGAAGTAAACACTGCTTTCTCATGATGTCTATCATTCCAAAAAGTAGAGTTCTGTAAAATTTTTCATGAGATTTTTTAAATTTCCCAAATAACATTTAAAAACACAATTTTATCAAAATTGTTCTATTTGAGAGTAACATTTCAAATGTAAATGTTTCAAATTTGGGCTTTATTTTTTGAGAGTATCAAAACTATTAATGGTAATTAGGGTCACAGGACACAGAAGTAGTAAATCTATAATGTTTCTGAAATTTTATATTTCAGCTTCCTATAACCAAAATATTAAAACCATGTTAAAAATTCATTTTAACTAAGTATGAAATCTAAATGCCTAAAAAAACCCCCAGACTTCCAAGATAATATTCTGTCATGGTTGATTTAAGTGCTTCAATTTTATTTTTAAAATATCCATTAAAAAAGCATTGCAGCTGGGCATGGTGGCACATTCCTGTGATCCCAACCTTTGGGGGGCTGAGGTAGGAAGATAGGTACAAGTTTGACGCTCTTTATCTGGGCTACATAGTGAGTTCAAGACCAGCCTGAACTGCATAGTGAAACGCTTTTTCAAAAAAAAAGAGCACTGAAACTCTCACAACAAAAGCAAAATTTCAATTTTCAGAAATTGGTATGTTGAATCCTAAACCCCATTTCACAATTGCTAAGTAAAATAAACTAATTGAATAGTGTAAGAAAATATAAATTTTGAAAATTATTTGCATATGTTATACTAGGTATAACTGAAAAATGCAGTTACTGTTTATGTTTTTAAAAAATTACAGTAAAAGACACATTGCCATTAATTCCTCTTGAAATACTACCTCTTCCTTCACACATGCTTATATCCCATCGTTCTTGTCACTTTCTGAAGCAGTTCTGGATGTCCTCTTTTGTGAGTGTCTTTAGTTGTGCTCTCATGGCTTCCTAGATGTCCTGAATCGATTCAAAATGTTTACCTTTTACAGTAATTTTGACTTTCTGGAAGAGCCAGAAGTTGCAGTATGCCAGATCTGGTGAATAAGGTGGATGAGAACACACTGCAATGTTTTTGTTGTTGTTGTTGTTGTTGTTTTGGTACCGGGGATCGAATTTCGGTCCTTGCGAATGCGAGGCAGGTGGCAGAATCACTGAGCTAAATCCCCAGCCCCACACTGTAATGTTTTAACAAGCCTGCCTTTCTGTTTAAATAGCATTCAGCAGCAGCATTCATCAAAAATTTTATCACACTGTGTAAAGACACCCATGAAAGAGGACATCTAGAATTTAAAACATTTACTGCACATTTACATTACACCTCATATGTACTAAATAGTTTATAAAAGTTTACTTTTTAAGGCTTCTCTTCTGTTTAAAAAAGCAATACATGCTCATTACTGAAAAGTTTTAATATTTTTATTTTTTAAATTTCTAATTCCCCATTACCCAGAGATAGCCACCATTAGCATTTTGGTGTATTTCCTTCTACTTTTTTTATTCTCCCTTTGTGCATGTTTGCGCGCACACACACACACACACACACACACATATATATATACATAATTTGGATCTATATTTTGCAGTTTTCTTCTCTGTTCTTTTTTTTAATTTATTTACCATGAGCAGGTCTCTAAAAATTCTTAGGAAAATCTGTATGTTATTCTGTCATAGGAATGCATTATGTTATACTTAAGCAATATTCTACTCTTAGATATTTAGATTGCTTATGCATTTTTGCTTTTATAAATAGTAACTGTGATAAACATTCATACATATAGACCTTTTTGTGCATCAGTCTTATCTAAGGACAGGATCTTAAAAGTGAAATTAGTGGGTCAAAACTCAATATTTTTAAGGTTCAAGAACATACTGCCAAACAAAACTCTAGCAGTCATCTGCACAGTGTTTCTACCAGCAGGTATAATTATGGCCCATTTCATTTACAGAATAATTCTTGGCACTGAGCACCCTTTAAAATGTTTCTGCCCAGAGGAGGTGAGCCAATCCCAGTGCCCAGGAGGAGGCTCCTGGCCGCCACTCAACCATTCCCAGGGCAGAGGAGGTGAGCCAATCCCAGTTCCCAGGAGGAGGCTCCCAGGCCACCATTACACCACTCCCAGAGCAGAGGAGGTGAGCCATGCAGGTGCCAACAGCACCCCCTGCCCTCCATGGAAATGAGAAGACATGTAAACAAGCCTCAAAAACAGACTTCCAGATCACCTACAGCAACCCCAAAGGGAAACCAGATGGAACAATCTGATACTCAACCATCTGAACTCCCTGAACTGGCAACAAAAGAGGATCTGGAAAAAACGAAATCAGAAATAATTTCTCAGATAACAGGAGACATTGTGCCCATAA